ATATCTATTATATATGTATTGGGTTGGCAAATAAGTTCGTTCGGTTTTTTAATCGGAGTAGGTTTACTCGTTCTGCTATCTCTTTTCCACAGCGTTATCGCACAACTCGCTTACGCAGCTGAAAAGCAACGTTCCACCTAACCTATTTGTAAACATACGCCGGTTAATACCAGAGTATTGTGCGTACTGCACGGTTGCAAATATGGAAGAAAAGAACGTCCATTTTCGCCATATTTTACTTTTTTATTTCAAAAAAGGCAAACGAGCTGCGGAAGCTCATAAAAAGATTTTTAATGTGTATGGGGACGATGCTTTAACAGAACGTGTGTGACAAAAATGGTTTGCCAAATTCCGTTCTGGAGATTTTGATGTTAGTGACGCGTCCCGTTCTGGTCGTCCAGCAGAGATTGATTCAGCTGTAATAAAGAATACCGTCGACAAAAATCCATCGCAAACAGTACGAGAGATTGCTACGACACTTAATATATCCTACACAAGTGTAGAAAACCATTTGCGTCAGTTGGGATACGTTTCTCGCCTCAATGTTTGGGTGCCGCACGAATTGACCGAGGCCAACTTAACCGCTCGCATTTCCATCTGCGACGCGCTGCTGAAACGCCAAGAAAACGATCCATTTCTGAAGCGGTTGGTTACGGGAGATGAAAAGTGGATCGTCTACGATAACGTAGTACGTAAAAGATCATGGGCAAGCAGCAGTGAACCACCACAAACAACCTCGAAGGCAGGATTGCACCCGAAGAAAATTATGCTCTCAGTGTGGTGGGATTATTAAGGTATCATTTATTATGAGCTCTTACCATCAGGCAGAACGATCGATTCAACTGTATATTGCTCCTAATTAACGAAATTGAATCAAGCAATACGTTCAAAACGTCCAGAATTGGCAAATCGAAAAGGAGTCGTCTTCCACCACGACAATGCCAGACCCCATACTTCATTAACTACTCGGAACAAATTGTTAAGGCTTGGCTGGGATGTTTTACCTCACCCTCCTTATTCACCGGACCTGGCACCCTCTGATTATCATTTGTTCCGGTCGCTGCAAAATTCTCTGAACGGGAAAAACTTTGCTAATAATGAAGCTGTTAAAACGCAACTGGATCAGTTTTTTGCCGGTAAACCTCAGACGTTTTATGAATGTGGGATTATGAAATTGGTAAAAAGATGGCAAGAAGTCATAGAAAAGAATGGTCAATA